ATTTAAGTAGCATCGAATATATTGGAAGAAAGATTCTGTCTTGTTTAAAAGACAATAGGTTCATTTAGTTTTATTCATTTTTTAAAAAAAGAATTTATTTAGAAAATGTGCCAAGGAGCAGCCCAGGTGGCTCAGTGATTTAGCACCGCCTTCCGCCCAGGGCATGATCCCAGGGACCCGGATCGAGTCCATGTCGGGCTCCCTGCATGGAGCCTGCTTCTCCCTCTGCATGTGTCTCTGCTTCTCTCATTCTCTCTCTCTCTCTCTCTCTCTCTCTGTCTCTGTCTCATGAATAAATAAATAAAATCTTAAAAAGAAAGGAAGAAAATGTGCCAGGAAGTAGGTCAGCTTCTGAGGACATAGCACAGAAATGTATAATAGAGGTTAGTCTGATGGCAGCTGGATGGGAGGTACTTTGGGTAATCAACTGTGCACAATATTCTCCCAGTTTCCACTCTAATCTAGAAGAACTGAAGCAGTTCAAGTTTAAGATTGATCCTTCATGAAATGGCATTTGGTAAATGTCTTCCAGACACTCCTTTTCTCCATGCCTGTTTGTTATGGCCTGAAATTCTATCATGAAGAAGACAAAGCACTGATTCCATAATTACAGATGAATAAATAAAAGATACAACTTCCAAAAGGAACTATCCTATTACCTGAAATACACTTACTTTTAAAAAGTATATACTCAGGTAATAAATAAAAGTAAATGTGGTCAAGTTCTTTCTAGAGGAGAAAATTAGAGAAAGCAGGTAACCATGGACATACTAAGAATCAGCAGTGAGAGAACAAGAAAAAAGTTACATTTGTATTGTATATTTTGTGTTCAAAGATAGCATCTAAATGCCCAGATCTTCACTGAGTGTTTAGAATCAACATTCAGCTTCACCAAAATGTAATTAATTCTGGCTCAGTCTGCCTTCAACTCTGTGGACAAATAAAATGTGCAGACAGAGGACATTTTGTGCCATATACTCTGTATACCAATGGGGATGAGGTACATCCATCCATCATAAGTTGATGAAGTAGACCAACATATCCTCATATGTTTAACAAGTTTATTTGTTGGCACTTATTTGTTGACTGGTTTAACACTCAACTTCTAAGAGACTTATTTTTGGAGGACTGACTAATCAAGGAAATTTTGTACTTCCTCAGGAAAAACTCAAAGTTAAGTACAAATTCATTTATACAGGTATTTGCCTCATAGCAGTGCTCTCTCACTGTCAGGCAGACATTCACAGTGGGATATAGGAATAAGGGGATCACTAAAAAGGATAAGACATTTTATCAAAAAGAAGATGGTAATTCAAGACTAAGATATGTTATTTGATTTTTTCCCCAACAAATAGTTGTTCTTTATTTGCCAAAATAACATTTATTTATTTGCCGAGGGAAGCAATTCCTATCTCAAGGACTACGAAAACAATCTATGTTTGAAAAAGGAACGTAAGTTTTTATCAGACATGGCTATCATCTTACAATGACTTTTGAATTATTCCAAAGAAAGGAAAATTATTATTCACACAATAAAAGAAACTTGCACATAGTTCACTATATGAAGACAATGAGAGTAGAGAACATACAAATGTGTTAAAAAGGAAGAAAACATATATTTTGTTGTACCTTAATTTGAACTGAAGAAACATTTTTTAAATGTTGACAACACTGCAATTGACAACATTGCAGGTGGTACTGCAATATGGTCAAGCAATTTTGTTTAATTTTATTGTTGGAACATGACACTTAATTGTCATGCCAACCTTCTTATGCTATAACCTGAAGATATTTAGATCTGAATGAGAGTATTTTAAAAAGATATAATGATAACTTCATGGTAAAGTTTGATGTAATGTTTAGGGTAGAACACAAAGGTACTTATTCCTTTCAGTGTGGGCCTTAATCTTGGTGTTTAATTGAAAAGCAGGATAGATTTTAAAAAACGAATCCAGATAATTTATTTAAAACTGCAGCACAAATATGAACATTTTTATTATAGACAATATTCAATACATAAAGAAATAAAAAGAGAAGAAAGCAAAGAAAAATAGTACTAGCCAAGAATCAACTTTAATTAAAATCACCTCTATGTTTGCACTGAAATTTTTGTCATAGCATCAATCAATTCTTTAAAAAATCATATAACTAATTTGATATCTAATAAAAATGAAAATGAATACACTAGCTTGTTTTGACTTAATTTATCTTTTACTTTCAGGGCTATTAAACAAAATTATTTTAAAAGATTTATTCAATGTGCTAAGACAGTAAAATTTTGACATCTCTGACACAATAGTATCTTCAAAATCACTCTAAAATCCTTGGAAATTCTACTTGGAGCAGGGGTGACTTTAGGTGGAATGGGAAAACATTAGGTTATGAATTTGTTTCTGTAATTTCCACCTAATTTTTACTATATGTTTAGCCCATTTCTAGCCTCATTTCGGGACTCCTCTCAAATGGAGGACGACTTCTGGCATAGGACAATTAAAGCCCAATATTAATCTCCTGTTGAGAACTTTCAGACCAAAGCAACATAAATGCATCTGCCAGGTGATTAGAAAAAGAGCAAAGAGACCAGAGGTGAGCTATTTGAGGAATAACTATACAGCTGTCCTAACAGGTGTATATACAGGTGTTCCTAACCTCTACCCAGTTATGGCAGCATCTCTAGAAAATATAACTGGCAAACTCGGGCCTGCATGAGATGATGTATACAAACAGTTGCCCAGATATGATGCTCTTTGGTTTTTCATTTAAGTATAATGGGACTAGTGTCTATCATAGACTGTGCTTGGGGAGTTAAGGGTCTAGGGCACCAAAATGGCCTCTGCAGTATACTGCATCCAAATACTCTATTCTCAAGCATTTTATGAAACGTTTTTCTCTTTAGTGGAAAAAAATCCAGTGAAATCTCATACCATTTTATCTAAATACAAATTCAGACTAAGCACTTTTATCTTAACCCCAATTATTTCAGATGGTAAAATAAATTCGTTTTCTCATCTGTGCAATATATGAATTGTTTTGGGTAGTCTCTACTATAATCTCTTGAGTTCTAAGATTTCCTTTCTTCATCATATATCTTTTCCTATTAAAACTGTAAGTACTCAAAAGAGGGCCAATTATTAAATATGTTAAAATTTATGTCTGTCTATTTTTCTTAGAAAAATGGACAGACATAAAAACAAGTCACCTTGTAAGGAAACATGTTGTTGAGTAGAAAAGACACAAGAAGGGAAAACAGATAAGGAGGAGTGAGGGGTTGGAGGGGTTATAGACAAACTTATTCTGGCATAAGAAGCAATGAAGAACTGCCCCCAAAATGGATAAAGAAAGACAACATAATAAAGTCTTGGTGCATTGTATTGAAGCTGAAGAGTAGAAATAATGTTTTTTAGGTCTATGACTAAAAGAAACCATGCTACTACTACTTTCTAGTCTGCCTTCCAAGATGATATTCGATATTTGAACTCCACTGGCAAAAAATGAATAAACAAGCAAACAAAAAGAATAGTTCCTTCCAGCTAGTTCTGAGAAATGGACTCATTACAACTTGCTCCCTTGGCAGGAAGAAAGACCCAAATGCAGACATTTCTCCTTCCCGAGGGAGATTCTTATATTTAATGGCAAGAAATACCTTTTCTAGATTTCTGTCTTTGCTCCATGTGTTTTCTATTGTTTAGGTTTATCTCAACTTGGAGTACAAGGTTTTTTTTTTTTTTTTTTTTTAGACTAAACTCCTCACCAGTCTTGATGCTAATGAGGTTTATCTGCAGTGGAAAGATTTACTTCCATTTGAGTTGAATTCCATGAAGAATGAAAAGGGATCATAAAGATATCTGATAAAACCAAACACCTCTCTACTTCATTTTACCAAACTTGTGAATTACTATGTGTTGTTTGTGTTTGTGGAGTTGCCTCTTTCAATGTGTTTTCAATAGACAACAAGGCACCAAAAACCCTGGGTAAATAATAGATGTTAAAAATAGTTTCTACCTAACAATGTTACTGGAACAATTAGAGTGCAGAAAACTCTCTCACAAGAGAAGCCAACTAAAAACAAAGGTTGGCATGATGCTGGTTCTTTAGTTCTTTTCAAATTAATAAAACACACTTGCTCTAAACTCATCTCTCTCACTTAAAACTATTTGGGGTTGTTTTGATTTGTTTTCAACCCCACTAAAATATACAATAGTGGATCTTTGTCTTCTTTGTGCAATTCTGCTTTTTTCCTTCTTCTTTTTAATATGTATATTAATATTAATATATATATATATATATATATACACACACACACAGAGTGCCAGCACAATTTGTATGCATGGACTATACATATGCCTTATATTCACACTCAGCTTGGGAATTATTCTTAAAGAAAGCCTCTTTCTAGTCACATTATTCAAATGCGGTATAACACAAAATTCATTTGTTCATTGGTGTCTAGTTACTAAGGAGTACAGCCAAAAAGTTAATCTTTGCAACACAACAGAAGACCAGTAGAGAACCTGAGCATTGTCTGTAGGCAGGTACAGAGCCTCTGAGAAAGAGGAACTACACTTTTGTATTCAAACCTAGAAGACCATAGTATTATTAAGAAACAGCTATTTTTACCACACGTACAATGGAAGAAAAACAGTGACTTCCATTCTCTTTTCAAAAAGCCAAGAAGCTTTTCTAGACTCATGACCTCTGAAGTCATTTAATGTATTTTAAATAGAAGTCCTATCACTTCTGCTTTTAAATAGCAAAACAGGACTCCTGAAAAACATAAAGGTTCTGAAATGCCCCATCAAGTCTACCAAAGGAAACAATTTAACTTTTTTTTTCTTAAGGGCAAACATCCACAGAGAAATGAATCTGACAAAGCAATAAACATGATCTGAATTATTTTTAAAAATCTTACCTAAGTTTACTAGACACATGTGCTATCTATTTTAAAGACCTAAAAGATGTTATGTCTTAGCATTTCATAAATTCCTAAACGATATACTCACATTTTGCTGTCACTTTGTACCCCCCCAGAGGAGGAGCATGGCCTTCTAATGCATCAAATCCAGCGGAAACTAGGACCATGTCTGGATCAAACTCTTTGGCCACAGGCGTCACTACAGTCCTGCACAGTAAAAAGGCAACCAGTTACACAAGGGAATGGTGAATACCTTTAAAAATTGTGCAATGAAAATGACTTGGCACACCCTCAAGAACTTCCCAAGAATAAAGAAAAGGGGAAAAGAAAACACTAGTTGAATGGATCAAAAACTTATCATTTCCTTAATAGTGAATCACTGTTATTTTAGCATCCCAATTCAGTCTTTTTTCTTTCATCTTTTTTCCCCTCTAAATTAAAAAAAAAAAAAAGTTTTGCAGGTACATTTCTAAAGCCCATCATATTGCATGCACATCTGTGGCTGTTTTATCCCCCTGCCTATAAAAAAGTGCTTCTTCCAAGGGAGTGACTAATGTTTTACAGAGAAAAGTTGAAGCTTTACTGAAAACCCGGCTTGCTCCAGTTAGTGAGAATTTGGTGTAAATTTGAACTATAAATTTCTTTTGAGAAAAAGTTGCTTTTCCAACTTAAAAAAAAACATTTTTAAATATTTGTCATGGTAGGGGGTAACTCTTGCAAAGGAAAAACACAAAATTCCTTTAATAGAATCCAGACTATAATGTTAAGCAAGTCCAAGGTCAGAGACACCAGGAATGTGGCAGCCTCATCCATGACAGCAATCCCTGCTGGCCCCACTCAGACACTTCAGCACATACCTCTTCAGCCTTCTCAGGCCACCTTAACTTTTCTTCAGTGCTGAATTTGAAAGAAAATGACTAATAGATGCTACTGTGCTTTATAAAATAAAATTAAAAAACTAATGTAGGCTTCAAGACTAATGTGCCATTATCAAAACTCAAACTTCCAAAGACTTTACTAAGATGGGGAAACTGTACGCAGTAGCAAATTTAAAAAGTGGTAAGGTTTCTGTTGTGCATTTAAGAGAAATAACTGATCTAAACTTTAAAATTGCTATCCTTAGTGACAAAATTGAGTTCTTTTCATTTTTTTATGTTTACAAATTTCTCATATTTTAAAACTGATGACATATTAGTTTTACACTTAAAAATTTAAATAAGAAGTTATTGAAGTTATAAAATAAAAAATACTTATTTGAAATTCATAAATGAATGAAATGTTTTTCATAACTCCACTACTATTATAAAAGTTCAATACTTCAAACTCATAAACATACATGTAAGTGCCTTCCATGGTAGTCTTTCTAACACTTGAAAAGCTACTCACATCTGAATTAGCTCACCAGTGAAACTATGTGTAACCTAATTTTGTTTACTATGTAGTTTCATTATTTTATTCTTCAATAAAATTAAGAATATCGAATACATCTACATTATCAGAAGAGATATCTTCAATCCTTTTCTGTCCCAATAATACCAACACTTACATCATAATTTTCATAAAAGTGCTACATATTACCAATTCACTACTTTTCATATGAGTGAAATACCATGTGTGTATATTTGGGATATTAGATACTGGAATAAATTGTCTCAAAGAATCAAGCCTGCTTCATCAAGGTGCTTCATCTATTTAGTATGATCAATCCTATCTATTCCCTTAGCAAACAAATAAAACTCTTAGGAAAATATGGAGGTAGATGATTGAACAAAGTTGTCATCCAATCACATGCATTATAGTGACCAATTTTCCATCTCCCTTCCCTCTCTTTGGATAGTTTCTCCCCCTCCTCATCTTTTCTCCATCATCAATCTACACTTGTAAGATTGATTGAAGGGTAAACATACTTCAAAGCACAGCTCACTATCTTCTCCATAAGGGCTTCTCTCTACATATGGGTATTAAACATGTATGTATATATTTTTGAAGGACAAAGACAGTAAAGGAGACAAGGATTGCCAGTTTGAAAATATGACAAATATGAAGACAATCTACACAGGGGAAAACTTAAACATAACTGTGTTTGCAGGAGGAAGCTACAAAAAGCAAGTTGACTTTTCTCTTTCCTGGAGAAACAAACCAACCAAGGAGGAAATACCTAGAGAGACTGACACTTGTGAGTCACACAGATCAATAGTCAGGTTTTTTCCTCAGTCTTTCCACAGTGAATGCATCACTCCAAAAGCCCCACTCAACATACAGAGCTCCCACTTATCTTTTCAGTGCGCTTTCCTTAAATAGGGACTATTTGATGAAAATTTCTAGCATAAAAGATAACTAACATACAAACAAACAAAAGAAAGAGAACTCAGAAAACCAGAGAAAATTCAGGGAAGCCATTACAATTACCAAAATTAGGATTATCCTCAGAGACATAAAATAGTACATCTACAAAAGGAAAAGTGGGTGCTATTGAAGAAAAACAATAAACAAAACATACCACAGAATGTTTAAAAGATGAAGCTGAAAAGTTCTCTCATCAACACAAAACAGATACATGCAAAGTTGACATTATTAGATGAGACAATTAAAGAACCCATAAAGGAAGTCAACATATGAAGAAAAGTCTAAGGGAATTTTTTTCTCTTTTTTCACAATCTCATTGAGAAATAATTGACATAGAGCATTGTATTATTTTAAAGTGTCTAGCATAATGGTTTAACTGATAAGTATTTTTTTAACTGATAAGTATTGTGAAGTGATTACCATGATAGGTTCAGCCAAAAGCCTTTTCATCTAGATAAAATAGAAATAAAAAATAATTCTCTTCATGATAAAAATTCTTAGGATTAACTTTTATAATAATTTCCAACATATCATACAGCAGTATTAGCTACAGTCATCATGTTATACAATCTATTCCTAATACTTATTTATCTTCTATTAGCTTCTATCTTTGACCACCTTCCTCCAATTACTCTCACCCTCACTATCTGACTCAGATAACCCCAAGTTTGATCTCTTTTTCTGAGGTTTTCTTTTTTTTAGTTGTTTTTTTAATATTCCACATATAAGTGATATCATACAGTATTTGTCTTTCTCTATTTGACTTATGTCATCTTCAAGGTCCATCCATGTTGTTGTAAATGGTAGGATTTCCTCTTTTTATGGCCAAATAATTTTCCATTGTATATATATACCACAGTTTCTTTATCCATTCATCCACAATGGATGCTGGGTAGTTTCCATGTCTTGGCTACAATAAATAATGCTTCTATGAATACAAGGGTGCAGATTCTTTTCCAGTTACTATTTTCATTTCCTTAGGATATATTCTCAGAAGTGGAAATCGTAGATCATAGGATAGTTCTCTAATTTTTTGAGGATTCACCATACTGTTTTCCATTGTGGCTGCACCAATATACAACTCCACCAAAAGTACTCAAGGTTTCCATTTTCTCCACACCCATGCTAACATTTGTCATCTTTTATCCTTTTTATGATGGCCAGCTAACAGACCTCAGGTGATATCTCCATGTGGTATTAATCTGCATTTCCCTAATGATTAGTGATATTGAGCATCATTTCATGTACCTGTTGGTCTTATGTATATCTTCTCTAGAAAATGTCTATTCAGGTCCTTTGGGATCATTTTTAAAAATCGAGTTGTGTTTTTTTCCATTGAGTTGTATGAGTTCTTTATATATTTTGGATATTAACCTCTTATCAGTTACATGATTTGAAAATATATTTTTCCCATTCCATAGGTTGTTTTTTCATTTTGTTGATGGTTTCTTTTGATGTGCAAAATATTTTTATTAGCATGATGTAGTCATACTTATTTACTTTTTATTTTGTTGCTTGCACTTTAGGTATCATCTCTAAGTAAGACTTATGAGGGCTCATGTTAAGAAGCTTTATTCCTATGTTTTTCTCAGAGGGATTCAGGGCTTTAGAATTTACATTTGAGTCTTTAATCCAGTTCAAGTTAATTTTTGTGACCAGCATAAGACATGGGTTCAATTTCATTCTTTTATATGTGAATATCCAATTATCACAGCACCATTTATTTATTGTCACTCATGAGAGGCACACAGAGAGGGACATAGGTAGAGGCACCATGCAGGAAGCCTGACATGAGACTTGGTCTGGGGACTCTGGGATCAAAGGTAGACGCTCAATTGCTGAGCCACTCAGGGGTCCCTTCACTCAGTATTCTTGGCTCTCTTCTCAAATATTAGTTGATTTACATGCTTGGGTTTATTTCTGGGTTCTGCATTCTGTCCATTGCCTTATTTTTCTGTTTTTTTTTTGTTCCAGTACCATACTGTATTGAAGATAGCTTTATAGTATAGCTTGAAATCAGGAAGTGTGATGTTTCCTACTTTGTTCTTTCTCAGGATTTCTTTGACTGTTTGGGGTCTTTTGTGGCTCTATATGTACTTTAGAAGTGTTTTTTTCTATCTATAAAAAATGCCATTGGAAACTTGATAGGGATTTCACTGAATCTATACATGATATCTTATTATTTTTGATACTACTATAAATGGGATTTATTTATTTTTTATAAAATTCATTGTCAGTGTATAGAACATGCTACTGATTTTTGTATGTTAATTTTGTATCCTGCAACTTTACTGAATTAACTGATTAGATCTAATGGTTTTTGGTTAAGTCTTTCAGATTTTCTATATATAAAAGCGTGTCATAGAATTTTTGGTTAAGTCTTTCAGAATTTTTCTATATATAAAAGCAATAGAATTTTTCTTCTTCCTTTTCAATTTTGATACTTTATTTCTTTTTTGCCTGATGTCTCCAGGTAGAACTTCTTGTACTATCTTGAATAAGAGTGATGGAAGTAGGCACTCTTGTCTTGTTCCTGATCTTAGAACTTAGCTTAGAAAAGCTTTCAACATCTCAACAGTGCATATAATGAAGTTGTGGGCTTGTCATATGCGGACTTCATTATATTGAGATATATTCCTTCTTTGCCTGATTTATTCAGTTTTATCATGAATGAATGATGAATTTTGATAAATGATTTTTCTGTAGTTAGTTAGGTGATCATATGATTCCTTTATTTCATTCTATTAATGTGATGTATCACATTGATGGATTTATGTATGTTGAACCATCCCTGTATTCTAGGTATAAATCCCACTTGATCCTTTTTCATGTGTTGTAAATTCAGTTTGCTAGTATTTTAT